ATTTATGCAAAGAAAACGAAGTTTTAAATTAAAAACGACTGTACAAAAGAGGGTAATGTGAAAATGTCAAAAGTAAGCACTCAGACATTCTTTACCAAATTCATTGCAGAAGATTACAAAAATTAACTTTAATTTTTTGTAGATTGTTTACGTAATAGTAAAAAAGGTTTTAATTACAGTGACTATAATGTGGTCGTATGGTAAACTTGAGCTCACCTGGAAAACTTAGTTGGTTTCTGATAGCCTGTGGACTGTAGTGCCGAATTAATTATATTGCCCATAAACCTTATCTTCTGTGTTTATCATTTGATATAAATACATAAATCCATTGTACTTACATACAGATTAGGTCAGAAAAGAAATTCCTTTAAGATAGCTTTTAACAGATCTGCACGACATGACAGAATTTAAGCAAAGTTCCAGAAATCTGACACGCAAACAAGCACTAAAACATTCCGACAATATGAGCTCATTTGATATATTGTAGATAAATTCTTTTGCCATAATATACAAGTTCACGTTAAATTTTTCAGTTACTGGACAATATGACGAACAAAATATTCTCATACCATCACTTTAATCAGGTTAGTTAAACGTTATAAAGTTGATAGGCCAGATTTTTTTCAAATAGAAAATATTAAAGGGAAATAGTCGTTTAAAAATCAGCTGATATTTCTAATTTCAGCTCTCCGTATCACACTTTAAAATATGACGCCTGGTCCGTCTACAATAAAGTAAAATGTCGAGAGCTATATGGATTTCTGCGAAATAAATAATGGAGGTAGCGTCATTATTAAATCATTATATCAATATTATGAGAATCAGACCTTTTTTATGAGATGTTCAGCTGGTTATGACAATATTTATAGAATATTCGTATGTCCCAATTCCCTGTAAAGCCTAAAGGCGACAGTCCCTTTAATAACGTAAATAAAGTCAATCTAGCGTGAAATATGATTAAATATATCCATCTTTTTAGTATTTCCTTTAGTACATTAGTAGGACAATTCGCGGTGGTTGGTGTCATACTACAAAATACTTTGGTGACTAAAATTACTTTAGTTTGGGCCTCATTTTATGTAAAAAATGATTTTAGAGCAAAAATGGTTTTTCTAACCCAAAGTTATTGTGAAGAGGTTTTCTAAATTCTTTATGTATATCAGGAACACTGATAGCATCAATATGCACCATTCCAAGTTTTAATCAGACGTCTGTAGTTCCCGTAATTCCACAAAAATACGCGTTTTATGATGCTATTAATCGCGAAGTCATAATGTGATAAAGCATAGTCATCGAACACTTAGTTTTAGTGGAATTGCAGGAACCATAGACGTCTGATTGAAAATTGGAATGGTGCATATTGATGCTACCAGTGTCGCCGATAGCGATACATATACAATTTTTAGAGAACCTCTTTACTATTTCTTTAAGTTTCTTTTGACTGAAGTGGGTCCGGTTCTCTAGAAAACAAGGGCCTGGTATTAAGGTGTGTATATATGTACGGGTGTGTACGGGTGTAGGGTTAAAAGTATAAAGAAGACATTTAAGAAGAAGCGAATAGTGGGCGTAGCATTATATTGCTCTTCTCATCACACCTCGTGTGGGGAAGATTCGGCAATAAAAAAAAGGATCATTATACTCTTCCCATGATTGTCGATCCGGCGCCTATATTCTTTTCACAGGAGAAAGGGAATGAAAGATATATCGAAGTTTAGAAAGACACGCAACACAAATAAACCTAGTAAAAACCTATAAATTATGCATATCTAAAAACGAGATGAATGAAAATAATAATTTGATGCAAGAGGTTGATGGATTAGAGACAGATACGTTGAGTTTATTTTTTAGTAAAAACATGGTCAGACCACATTTTCTACATCTTTTGCTACAATTAGCACAATGAGTGTATTTTTAGTACGATAAGTTAGACCTTACGCATAATGAGATTTGCTCGGTGCGGTTTACTATGGAAGACTGTTGTGGCAATCAACGTTTTTTTTTACTTTTTGGAATCTTAACTTACTTTCTCGGCTTACTTTCAAAACTTGGGCTATTATTAATATAGTATGTAATTGCCAAAACGGCAACGGTTACAGATTTTTACATAATCGGCAGCTCTCGCCAGTGTCAGTAAACCTGAATCGATCATGAACTCTCATAGTCGATTATTGAATTCGCGTCTTTACTTATAGACGGTACATAGACGAAGGGGAATAACTCTTGTTAAAAAAAGTTATAAATTATACTTTTGCAGTCTGAAGTAATGAATCTTTATGCGAAGCAATCCGCGGCATTTGTTGCATTCGCAAGCTTTTGTGCAATGTTGGGTGAATCTACGGACGTTTTGTCCACATGGAAGTATTTAAACAGAACATTAGGATTATGTATTATTATCATGCAATATTTAATGAACACTGTTTTTAGAACATATTTTACATCCTCTGGTATCTGTTAACCATCTTGGTGTTTTAATTTATCTTGAATTGTAATAATAAGAAGAAGTAGGTAAAGTACACTCCACCGATCTGAAAAATATTGACAACATGGATTCAATGATATTTTTCTAAATGGTTCCAAAATCAATATTATCAATACAATTCAATTTCTACAAAATTATCTCATTAAAATGCTCCAGAATATCAGAAAATTTTGTCTATCCAGCTGTTATAACCTAAGTAAATACATTTGAATATAATTATAAAACTTACAGTAAGAATAAATTCTTTAGTAACAGTAAACAAACTCATTACAGTAAATCCTATCGATGGCCCAGTTAACTTGGACAGAAATAACGTTAACTGGAAAATAGAAAACAGTTTGTTAACAGAATAATTCGTTATCAACTGATACCAACCAAGTAGAAATCAACTCAGTCTGCGTTCAAAATATAACCGGAAGATATGCTTAATTACAGTATGACGTAGGAGTTAGATCATGACATGTTTATAATCCTCAATGAGTCAGATCATAACATGTTTTATAAACCTCACTGAGTCAGACCATGACATGTTTTCAAACCTCATAGAGTCAGATCATAACATGTTTTATAAACCTCACTGAGTCAGATCATGACATGTTTTATAAACCTCATTGAGTCAGATTATGACATGTTTTATAAACTTCATTGAGTCAGATCATCACATGTTTTATAAACTTCATTAAGTCAGATCATGACATGTTTATAATCCTCGATGAGTCAGATCATAACATGTTTTATAAACCTCATTGAGTCAGATCATAAAATGTTTTATAAACCTCATAGAGTCACATCACGACGTGTTTTATAAACTTCATTGAGTCAGATCATCACATGTTTATAAACCTCATTGAGTCAGATCATCACATGTTTATAATCCTAAATGAGTCAGATCATCACGTTTTATAAACCTCATTGAGTCAGATCATCACATGTTTTATAATCCTCAATGAGTCAAATCATCACGTTTTATTAACCTCATTGAGTCAGATCATCACATGTTTATAATCCTCAAAGAGTTAAATCATCACATGTTTTATGAGCATTGAGTCAGATCATAACATGTTTTTGAACCTCATTGAGTCAGATCATGGCATGTTTTATAAACCTCATTGAGTCAGATCATCACATGTTTATAAACCCCATTGTGTCAGATAATAACATGTTTTTTAAACCTCATTGAGTCAGATCATGGCATGTAGTTTAAACCTCATTGAGTCAGATCATGACATGTTTTATAAACCTCATTGAGTCAGATCATGACACGTTTTGTTAACCTCATTGAGTCAGATCATGACATGTTTTTTAAACCTTATTGAGTCAGATCATGACATGTTTTATAAACCTCATAGAGTCACATCACGACATGTTTTATAAACTTCATTGAGTCAGACCATCACATGTTTATAAACCTCATTGAGTCAGATCATCACATGTTTATAATCCTCAATGAGTCAGATCATCACGTTTGATAAACTTCATTGAGTCAGATCATCACATGTTTCATAAACCTCATTGAGTCAGATCATCACATGTTTTATTAACCTCATTGAGTCAGATCATAACATGTTTTTTAAATCTCATTGAGTCAGATCATGACATGTTTTATAAACCTCATTGAGTCAGATCATCACATGTTTTTGAACCTCATTGAGTCAGATCATGGCATGTTTTATAAACCTCATTGAGTCAGATCATCACATGTTTATAAACCTCATTGTGTCAGATAATAACATGTTTTTTAAACCTCATTGAGTCAGATCATGGCATGTAGTTTAAACCTCATTGAGTCAGATCATGACATGTTTTATAAACCTCATTGAGCCAGATCATGACACGTTTTGTTAACCTCATTGAGTCAGATCATGACATGTTTTTTAAACCTAATTAAATCAAATCAATATCATATCAAAAGTATATCATACAGACCTGAGCAAGCTGCTGAGTTGTTAAATTATCTGTTTCTATTTCATAAATATGATCTAATGGAGAATGGGCCTGAAATATGAAAGGTTATATGATATCAATCAGGATAACATGGTCAATATACAGAGAGTGACATCAGAGACTGCCAAAATAAAATAAGTGGTATTGAAAATTATTTTGGTAACAAATCAATTACATGATTTCATTGTTACATGAAAAATATAAAGCTACATTAGTGATGATTGACTGACAAATCTACAAAAATGTTTTAATGTATATTACAATAATGATGATGAACTGATAAAAACAGTGGTAATGAACCAATGAAAAAAAATACAGTGATGATGAAGTAATAAATATACAGTGATGATGAACTAATAAATGTACAATGATTTTGAACTAATAAATATACAATGATGATGAACTAAATGATGTACAGTGATAATGAACTTATGAACCTAACGTGATGATGAACTGATAAAAGGGGGGGAAATGAACTTATAAATGCTTGGTGATGATGAACTGACAAAAATACAGTTGTAATAAACTGATGAATTTACAATGATGTTGAACTGATAAATATAGAGAGGAGATTAACTTACAAATATAACGTGACGATTAACTGACATGAAATACAGTAATAATGAACTGGTAAATATACAATGATGATGAACTGGTAAATATACAATGCTGATGCACTGATAACAATATAGAGTGGAGAGGAGATGAATTCATAAATATAATGTGATGATGAACTGGTAGAAAATACAGTGATAATGAACTGGTAAATATACAATAGTGATGAACTGGTAAATATACAATGCTGATGAACTGTTAAATATACAATGATGATGAACTGGTAAATATACAATAGTGATGAACTGGTAAATATACAATGCTGATGAACTGTTAAATATACAATGATGATGAACTGGTAAATATACAATAGTGATGAACTGGTAAATATACAATGCTGATGAACTGTTAAATATACAATGATGATGAACTGGTAAATATACAATAATGATGAACTGGTAAATATACAATGCTGATGCACTGAAAACAATATAGAGTGGAGAGGAGATGAATTTATAAATATAATGTGATGATGAAATGGTAGAAAATACAGTGATAATGAACTGGTAAATATACAATAATGATGAACTGGTAAATATACAATGATGATGAACTGGTAAATATACAATGATGATGAACTAGTAAATATACAATGATGATGAACTGGTAAATATACAATGCTGATGCACTGATAACAATATAGAGTGGAGAGGAGATGAATTTATAAATATGATGTGATGATGAACTGATAGAAAATACAGTGATAATGAACTGGTAAATATACAATAGTGATGAACTGGTAAATATACAATGTTGATGCACTGATAACAATATAGAGTGGAGAGGAGATGAATTTATAAATATAATGTGATGATGAACTGATAGAAAATACAGTGATAATGAACTGGTAAATATACAATAGTGATGAACTGGTAAATATACAATGTTGATGCACTGATAACAATATAGAGTGGAGAGGAGATGAATTTATAAATATAATGTGATGATGAACTGATAGAAAATACAGTGATAATGAACTGGTAAATATACAATAATGATGAACTGGTAATATACAATGATGATGAACTGGTAAATATACAATGATGATGAACTAGTAAATATACAATAATGATAATAACATAAATGGAACAATGAAAGATTACAGTCGTGATGTAGTGGTGAGAATAAAATACAATCATACGATAATGCGATGATTAAATGATAGAAGGACCCTAATTTGAGAATATAATTCAAATGTTTCTCTTACTTTGAACATTAAATATTGACTGATTTTAGAGTTAATACATTAACCACATTAATTTAACTAATGGTGTTGAAATATTATTTAATATCTACTTTGTATTAACGATTACTCTAAAAGTAGAGAATAGAGAATTATAAATAATTTCAATTCATATTAGTTATAGTAATGAAATGAATCTATTTACTAAGTTAATGGTATCATTTACAAATTGAAAACCAGAATAAATATAAAAGTGTGATACAATTATTAACGTAGTACTATTAAATAAATTCTAACATTTAAATATAGCATTATCAAAGATATACTATAAATTGGTATAAGATGCAAACAGTATCTGACCACCCCATCGTTGTAGGGCTAATTCCTTCCAAAAGATAAATTTAGATGTCTAAAACATTTTTCTCTTTCGTTATATATCTTGGCATGGCTGCTTTCACGCTACTTGAAGTCGCTATGGTCTCCCAGGTTTTACATAAGAAGGATTTTTCTTTATCTTCTTTACCATACAGGCCAGAAATTGACAACCGTCACCGATACACTTACACAATACTTTTCCCATAGATTCCGTTTCTTCTAATCACGACCACTACATACGCATACAGTTTTCTAGTAGTCTGTCATTAACTTTAGTAAGTAAATCATAAGCTCCATAAATACAGTCCCTCTGGGATTACTGACTCTTTTACCAATCGAACTATATCTATATCTGTTTTCCGAGAGTAACAACCATGACTGATCTGGCTTGCCAAACTAGATTATTATAGGTTAATGAATTTGTTTTGGGGTTTTGGGTCATTTGTTTGTACACTTAATATATCTTATACTGTGCATTATTTTATTACAAACCTCAAGATAGGAAATATGAAAATAAAAATTATAGATGCTTAAGAGCAAATAAGTCTTAAAAGCATTTATTCTTACCGCATCGTGGACGATTGCCACATTGTAGGCTATCATACCAGTTGCTATAAATGCTGTACATAACCACATACTGAACATTACCAGAGAGGTGGTATTGGTTTCACTAAAATGGTTCACCAGACGATACAAGATAAAACAAGCCAGAAAGATATTGGTTGTCAACAGAACCATCAGCAAAAACGACGTAGGTCTATCAAGTATCTCCACCAGTCGACATAATGAGAGATGACGCCTCCTCAAAAGATCCAAATTCTGTGGAAAGTTTTTGGCCGAACCTTTCAAAACTATTTGCAAAGTGACAGAGTAAAGGCAAAATGCATCCTTGATACTTTTACAGCCGATAAGAATCAAACAGACAGTAAATGCCCAGATGGCGCTGTAGTAAATTAAACAGACGGCTAAAATAGAAATCCACGTCCAGGAATCTGTGAATGGATTGACGAAAGTTGTCAAGAAGTCGCCTCTCATGACAAGGGTCATCACACAAGTCCCAATGACGTTAAAGAAGAAGAAGAAGATGCCTATTGCAGTGCAAACAAACGTGAACACACGCAGCCTCTTCAACACAGACTTCAAACACATGCACTTGGTTTCTTGAATGCATTCGTTCCATAATTTGAAATATTCTCCCCATGTTCCTTTCTGACAATGTCGAAGGATAATTATAAGGCTAAGATTACCTTGGGCAAACCAGCACAAGTTTATTACTCGAGGTAAAAGATGACCAGGCTCATAGTCTAATCCTATCCAAAATGATGGAATGTAACGTAATGTCGACAAAGACAACAGCGTTAACACCAGAAAGCAATATATCTTCTGAAATATCCGACGCCAAGGGTAACCTTTCTTTCTATCTGGGCTCCATGCTTCGGGTATCTGGGTATTTTTCTCACTAATTTCAGTTTTTGTGGTGGAATCATAGTATAATCCAAATAACTTTAAGGTAAATAACAATGGCTTCATTGACTGTTGAATACTATCAGATGGTGGTACTGCTGACATACTGAACAATGATGATCCTCCGCGACTTCAGTTTTTGCAGTTGTTCAAGAAAGGTCACAATCTTAATTTTCTTCTTCTGAAAAAATCAATTCTGGACTTCATTCGATGTTTACAATATTCCCTAGGTACGAAAAACGTGCTGATAAACCTCAAGATAGACTCATAGTATTCGTTTCTTGCAGAATTCTAATTACACGGCTTAATTACAGAAAATCATCCATCTTCAAGTCCAGCACAAAGGCGTAATCACAATCTCATTTTTCTTCTCCGGTATTCCACAAATACAGTTTGACCGTGGCTCTGAAAAATATGTTGAAAAACCTGCTGTATTCGATCACAGATAATATACTTCTCAAGTCCAGTACAAAGTAATATTAACAAATTGACACAATGTTGTTTTGATATGTGAACTTAACAACTTAGAGTGTGCTATTGAAAATATACCACAGGAAGCCAAACAAGCGACAATTCCATACACATTGTTTGATAGGTTTTTGTCCGATTAATGAAATTATTTAGTAAAGATAGAGCTATAGAATAATGTAATGTTGACTTACTAAACTAGAATGAATCATTAATAACCAATATGTTATCAACAATCAATTCTATTAATTCTAGATATCAACCATTAAACAGTCTGTAGTCCGCTTTCCATCTGATCTTTGATATCCACTATAACCGTTTCATTGACAAGAAATAACATTTGGGTTGTTATATTATTATTATCTTTTTGTCATTCTATTGTAGGCTACTAATGATGAATTCAAAAAATCTCAAAAGTTATGAAAATGGTTTTGGTTAAACGGACTCCCGTTTCATTTATTAACAAGTGGTTGCCTAGCAAGATACGCCCACTTTCCTGATACATATCAAGGGCAGTCAAATCATACCAAAAATCTAATTTGTGCAAGATATTTAAACAAACACAAAATAAACTTCTGACAAAAACCTCACCTCACCTCACCTCTAACAAATTTTGATGCGTTTTTATTAAGTCATGGGCAAAAACTCAAATTCCGTTGATCGAAAAATTGTCAAATTTAAGCTTGACTAAGATCTCATCATTATAAATGATCATACGATATTTCATTTAAATCAGATGAAAACTGTACTCTCCACTGTGTTTACAAACAAATTTTGACGCGTTTTTCATAAATCAAGGGCAATAACTCAAAAACCGTTCATCGAAAGATAGCTAAATTCGAACATGTCCAGGATCTCATTATTATAAATATTCACACCAAATTTCATTGAAATTGGATGAAAACTGTAGTCTCTATTCTATAACTAAAAAACAGTTCATCGAAAGATCGTCAGATTCGATCTTGTCCAAGATCTCATGAATATAAATGATCACACCAAATTTCATTCAAATCAGATAAAAACTGTTGTCTCTATTGCGTTCACAAGCCAATTGTGGACGGACGGACCGACCGACGGACGGGACAGGGGCGATGACAATATACGACCACATTATAATGTGGGCGTATACAAACACTGCATTGAATGCCGATCTTACTGACTTCTGTGTAATTTTCCGGGCTAAAAGGTTTTTTTCAAGAATGAATCAGGAAATTATCGATTTTAAATCGTTGATTTTAGTAATCACTTAAGATAAGTAGCACGAATATTCGTTTAGTTGCAGTAAAAAGAATCATCATTTGTTATGACTAAAATATTACTCTGTATATCAGTAATGAATTCAATATTGTACACAGTAAATTTAAACTTCATGATCGGTTTAATTTAATTGATATTCTCTCATTGCTATTGATTGCTCTTATCAGTCGATGCATTCTGATTCTAAGAGACATGTTTTGTTTGTGAATAACTTTTTGAGACTAAAGTCGACTTCTATGTGCAAAAAATCAATTTCGAAATTTGTATGAATTGATTATTGTTTGTACTGGGGGGTCGATAATCTTTGATCACACGTCAGTGATGATGCCACGAAAAGGTTTGATTAGGTGGAATTTATGATGCTGTAAATGTTGGTGAAGTTTTGATCATGATGGTGCTGTTGAATCATTGGAAAAGGTTTGATCAAATGATGATGCCGTAGAACCAATGGTAAAGGTTTAATCAGATGGTCTACTCATTGCTGAGGGTTTTATTAGGTGTCATTGATTATGCCGTCTAATCGTTGCTGATGGTTTTAAGGTGTGATCAAATTAGATTTTCACGAATAACGCCGTGGAAACATTGGTTGAGGTTTGATCAGGTGTCATTGATAATGCTGTGGGAACATTGGTAAAGGTTTGGTAAGATGCCATTGATGATACCGCGGAACCATTGGTAAAGGTGTAATCAGATGGCATTGATGATACCGTGGAACCATTGGTAAAGGTATAATCAGATGGCATTGATGATACCGTGGAACCATTAGTAAAACTTGATAGGATGACATCGATTGGTAAAAGTTTGATTAATTGATCTGGGATTATTGATAAAGATGTGATCAAATGTGGAACCATGTGTAATATTTTGAACAGATACGATCAGTGATGTTCTAGAACCATTGATAAAGGTTTTAATTAAATGTCATCGATGATGCTGTGGAACCACTGATAAAGGTGTGATTAGATGTCGGTGTTCATACCAGATTTCATAGTTGATGCCGCATTACAATTGAGGTTTTGATCAGATGTCGTTGATGATACCATGGAACCATCAGTAAAGGTTTTGATTAGATGTCATTGATGATGCCGTTGAAATATTGGTTTAAGTTAGATTAGATGCCATTGATGATACCGCCCAATCATTGATGTAGCTTCGATCAGTCGCCATTGAAGACCGTGGGACCATCAATACCGTTGGTAAAGGTTTCTATCAAATGTAATTGATGATGCCGTGGAAGCACTGATAAAGGTTTGATCAGATGACATTGATGATACCTCGGAACCATTGGTAATGGTGTGATTAGATTGATGATAAAATTGACTAAGTCATAGATTGTGATCATTGATGATTCCATAAAACAATTCTAAAGGTTTTGATCAAATGTAGTTGATGATATTGTGGAACCATTGGTAAAGTTTTAATCAGTTGCCACTGATGATACCGTAAAACCAGTGGTAAAGTTTTAATCAGTTGCCACTGATGATACCGTAAAACCAGTGGTAAAGGTTTAATCAGATGCCGCTGATGATACCGCAAAACCAGTGGTAAAATTTTAATCAGATGCCGCTGATGATACCGCAAAACCAGTGGTAAAGGTTTAATCAGTTGCCACTGATGATACCGTAAAACCAGTGGTAAAGGTTTAATCAGATGCCGCTGATGATACCGCAAAACCAGTGGTAAAGGTTTAATCAGATGCCGCTGATGATAGGCCTACCTTAAAACCAGTGGTAAAGGTGTGATCAGATGTTAAAAGTGTGATCAAACATTGATAATCCCGCGAACCGTGGATTAAGGAGGGATCAGATTGATTGTCTTTGATAATACCGCGGAACTATTGGTAAATGTGTAATCAACTGTCATTAATGATACCATGGAACGATTGAAATAGGTTTTGATCAGATGCCATCGATAATACCTTGAACTTATGAATTATGGTAGGATCAGATGTCGATGATGATTCCGTAGAACTGTAACCTGTTGATGTCATTCATAATGCATTGGAACTGTTTGAGGTGTTTAAGTGATTAAAGTAATGGATATGCACGTATTTCTAGTCTTAGTCAACACGAGTCAGTTATTCATAATATATCAATATATGACAATATCATTACTTTTATTTACTGAATGACATAAGTAAACATGGTTTGTAAAAACATAACATAAGCTATATGAATTAATTCATTTAATATATCATATCTTTTAACAAAATATCACAGAATTAGATATCACAGATTACCGGTATTTACAAATGGAGATACAACATGCACTATCAACAAAAGAAACACCATGTTAAAAGGATTTTAAAGAGATTTTATAGATTTCTAGATTTTGTGTGTGTATCGGCACTGATATCATCGATTTGCACCATTCCAATTTTCAGTCAGAGTAAATAGTTCATTCAGTTCCTCTAAAAAGTATTGTTTTATGACATTATAGATCCTATTAGTGTCCCCAACCAAATATTAATTTTCTATTCATAACAGTGGATCAGATTAAGACTAAGTAAGCAACCCACAGATAAACAAATTACAAAATCTAGAACTATTTTTAACCAAATTGCTTTGTGAAGATGTGCTTGCCACAAATTGAATAAATTACTGCATCATTACATATGATATGACCATAAATCAATCAGTTGACCAAGAAAAATTTACAAATCGGCTTTGCATGACTTTTAAAAATATTTTAATGCTTTTGATGCTGTAGGTTTATGATGATCCTATCCTTGAGCCATTAAATGATGAAGTTCTTCAAACACACAAGAATATCTCTTTTTAAATAATTCTATAAACTCTTCTGATTTCATTTTCTCTTGTAATTTGGTTGACTTTTGTTCAATAGATGGTAGATCTATCATTGGGCAGGGACTGAAATAATAGAAACAATAGGTTTTATTTATTCATAAAATATTTGCATTTTCTAATAAAAATCTGACCATTTGAGGCAAAATAAAGTTGTAGGTTCTACTCTTCTGAATCTCTTCTGATTCATAAAATTTCAAAGCTGAATAAAATTTCATATTCAACCAAAATTATCCCTAATTTTACAAATGAGTTATTCCAATCGTACACATATACTGTTGATACAAGGTCTGCATGTTTGGAAGAGTTCGGTGGAATTTTAAGGATTGTCAAAAAGATGACTGGTCTGGGACACTTTATCAAACCTTGTCTTGGAATGCATCAGTGTTTTTTCGCTTGAAAAACTTGGAAAAATAAACTCAACCAATGCATAGATCCAACTTTTCGGTTGTGGAGCAAATGTGAAAAATTACACATCTTAGCTTGCATCCAACTATCTTTTAATGTGATAATAACAGATATGATTCATCACAAAGGTAGAAGATATAAGTTTAAAATACTTACTCTAGAGAGGTACTTTCATTAAGATTAAAGTCTATTGGTGTAAATTTGATATGATCTGGTACAGAAGTTCTACTGCTATCACCTAATATTACAATATTTAAACATTCTAACATTTCTATCTGATTTAAACCTATAGCTGATATCATATTAACACAGGTACATATCATCATTTCAGCTAGTCTTTCATTACAATATACCACTATTCCTAAAATATATCATCAACATATAAAATACAATTAAAAATATTAGTACAATATTTAGTGCCACAGTCATCAGAGCATTTAATGGATTGGTCAAAAATTGTATATTCAAAGTATAAAGGTTTTAGAGGTTAAATTTTATTTTAAAATGTAGACTGTGATCGTCGAAAATGCTTGGATGCATTTGGTATGTATGCACAACTTATAGATATAATCCAATTACTGAATATTTGTGTGGATAGTAAACGGTTTTTAAAGGGCTTGCCAAACTGAAACTAGCTATGTTAAAACTGAAAAAAAAAAAAAAAATTGGAATCATTTCATAATGATATCTTTTCATCATCTTGTCTTATTTGTTTGGTTAGGCATAAATTGATCTGATTGTATCTTATGATGTTGACCTATATAGAAATGGCTGGTGTAACGAAACTGAACATGCTTACTATTTTTGAAACACCTAATGGTACCTCTCTTTGGAGAAGTCCACTACTATACATCTTTTACCATACTTTGGACTAGATTAAAGGTATTGTCTTCCTTGTACAGATTTTATAATGACTGTGTGTTCAATTCTCGATCAGTGTGTGATAGTCCGAATAACCTTAAATAAGTCATCTTCACTCATAATTCCAGTCAACCAAACTGTAAATGGGTACGGATAATCCAAGAAAGATCAATGCCAAGAGGTTTGGCCAAGGGCCAGCTGGTAGAAAGGATCCTTAACTGTGAAACCAAGTTGTTATCTATGTAAAATATAGTTGTTTCTTTTCTTTTTTAAAGTGAAAAGGGATACATACCAGGTCCAGTTTGATTAATAGGATTGGTGATTTCAACTACATCTTTCTTTTCTAGAGACATCTTCACATTGACATTAAAATCCCACTTATTCTTACAACTCTCATCAGTCCATCGAAAATCAGATTTAAACACATTGGGTGTTCTGAGGATGAGTTTTATCTTTTGTAAGGGAGTACTAGCTGAGGGACAATACACAACAGTAGAAGGAGACAGACGTCCCTTGATTTCATCAGCTATTCCTGGTAGCTGTGATGGTAATACACAGATAAACAGTAAATTTACATTTGATACCAATTTTTTATTATTATAATAACACTCTACACCTTTATGTTGTAAATATTCTGAAAAATAAAATCATCCTTGAGTTCTGAAATTGTTCAAAAGAGAAATATGAAAAAAGGATTTGATATAAGTTGTTAAGAGTGGGGACAAATTTCTCCTTATGATTTTCACATATTTAAAGAAAAAAAATTTAATAATTCAAATATTATAAAGATCTACACGTTTTGTGTAAAATTATAAAATTAGGATATTACTGTTCTTTAGCTGTCTGTGGTTCTTGCAATTCGACTAAAACTAATTAAGTGTTTGATGACTTCACTGATGGGCCTTATGTGAAAAAAGTATATTTTGTGACTAGTAACGTCATTAAACACTTCGTGGAATTGCTGAAACCACATATGTCTGATTGAAAATTGGAATGGTGCAAATTGAAGCAATCAGTGTCCCCCACCACCTTACAATCCAATTAAAGACAAATATTCTCAGTGTAAGCTTATATTACCTAAAGTTTCTGGACGTCGTGTTGATATTTGAAGATTCTGTGGATTCATTCTACCAAAAGTCAACAAACAGTGAGCTATCTGACTGCCTAATCTACCACCACCTAATATACCAACAGTTAATTCATCTTTAACATTCATATCTTGTAATATCATGGCTGTTTTTCTTGAAGAACTTTGAAGTTGAGATTTCAAACCTCTGGAAATAAAACAATCAGATCATATTTCAAAATAATGTGATCTTTATAAACCTGAAAATGAACAGAGCAGCTTATCAAGTAGGCCTAGGTCATCTAGTAGATGATAGATCTAGTTGATCTGTTTGTGCACCTCCATGCATAAGCATGATTAATCTACTTTGTTTTTAAGTTTTAAATCGTAATACCGGTAATTGTTCAGCAATTATAAACAGAAGGATAAAATCCATTTGGAAACCATTTGGTTCGGCAAATATAGAAAAGTGCCTAGCTAGCAGACGATTTTTTGACGCACCTGACTTCGGATAGAATGTCGACTAAAAACACCGAATGGCCACATATTGAAACCGTAATAGCGTGGGATCTGGGTCTCAAGGATAAAAGTTCTTTTTCTTCATCTGTTAATGCACTTTCAAATTGTAAAGATGGTAATCTTCGAGTAATATCATTTGGATTATCGTTTATGGACGAATTTTGTTTAACTTGTGTCAACGCCATTTCTGTAGTTTCTATGTCAAATGGGCATGCGCAAAGGAAAGATACTACTTCCGATGTAAACATCCGGTTTTCTATTTTTTGAGAAGGAAAAAAAAATTTGAAGGAAAAACATTTTATTTGGTATGTTATGCCTTATTATATAGGCCTATTCCTTTTTAGCTCCTGTTTCAGTTTACTAACAATGATTTTCTGATAAGGTAGCCATAGCCATGTTAATTTGTTAATTAATTCTGAACTGAACTTATGTCAGAAGATGAAGATTATGGTCTAATCTGGTTTCTGTCAAACAGGTTATGTCTAGCCTACAATCTCAGATGACTGTTTAATGTTGACATTGTGACTGAGGTTAAGAAGGTGTGAACGAAGAAAAAACATTTGACTTTACCTACCATCATGATCATGACATGGAATCACTCCACAGAAAAACAAATATTTATACGCATGCAACATAGAGCCTGTTTCAAAAATTCTTATTTTATCAGATTTAATTCTTAGATCTGAATTATATTGTAGAACCAAGTAAAGGTGTAAAAATGGCACATTATAAAGGCGCTATCTCCGAGGGAGGGAGAGCTATGAATTTGATGAAGAAGAGACAGAAAGAACAGAATGAATTAGAAGTTAGAAAGAAGAAAATAGAAGATGAATTAAAAGTTGGAAGTATTGATAAGAAATTTGCAGCACATTATGATGCTGTTGAACAAACCTTAAAGTCTTCTACAGTAGGTAAGAATGTGCTATGTCTATGTTTTTATGTTCTCAAATAATGACCTATGATAGCCAAAGTTTACATGTTAAAATATCTTTTACCTTGTGCCTTTGTGGTTACATCTCATGAGAAACAAAGATTGCCCATGACAATTTATCTACAACTAGTCAAGGGAAAATGTTTTACAGGTATTGTAAATAGTGGTAATGTAAAATGTTCACAGAATACTTTGTAGCTTATTCAGAACTGTTGGACTTAAAATACTTGCAAGTCAATTTTATTCCAAAATTGATTCATAGTCACAGTTCAAAGTACTTATAGCTGTGTGAAAAAATCTGTTTGCAGGTCTTGTGACCCTAGATGAAATGAAAGCTAAACAGGAAAGTGTTTTAAAAGAAAGAGAGAAACAACTTGCTAAGAAAAATGCTGAAGCCAGATTAGTAGAAAAAGAAAAAGAAGACAGGAAAAGAAAAGAACAGAAGAAGGTTTGAATCTTGATTCTTGACTTTTAACAGGCTGCAGGTGTTTTGGTTAGACTGCAAAAATCTTGAAGTTTGATTTTTCATCATCATTCCAATTGATCAAGCTGTAAATGGGAATGGACAATCCAGACCAGCTGGTGGACAAGAACTAAGTGGTTATAATAGTTCTTTATTTCTTTCTTTTTGATTTGCAGTTTCTGAATTTTTGAATTCATCTGATTTAGCCTATGGTCTATCATATAATTGCTGGTGGTGTTTATTTATGATAACTTAAACGCTAAATTATTGTTAAAGCCATAATGTTGGTAGCATTATTATTTGTAAAGCCATAATGTTGGTAGCATTATTATTTGTAAAGCCATAATGTTGGTAGCATTATTATTTGTAAAGCCATAATGTTGGTAGCATTATTATTTGTAAAACCAACATATATTGTGATAACATCATTATTATGTTCTAGATAACATTATTATCATTTGATGTGGAAGATGATGAAGAAGAAGAAGAAGAGGAGGAAGAGGTAGAAATTCCTACCAAGAAAAAAAGGCTGGGTAAGCTTATGGACATTTGGCCTTCGCTTTCTTTTTGCAATCACCTTCTCTTTGGAAGATAGAAATACTGTATTGCTTTATTGTATTATCAAACCATCAAGTTAACTTTATGGGAATTAAATGTCGTAAAAAATGCAATTTGCGTATGTGAATATATAATGCTTGTAAAGATCACCTGAATCTTTCTGGTTGCTGCTTGGAAATCCAGCAGAATTTTGTTCAGCGACATTTTGTTTTCATGTGATTTGATTTGATCCAGATTATCAATAAAATAAGCGATTATCTAATTGACGATAAGTGATTAAGATGAATAGATGTCAGATTATACAGATTTTTCTGAGTGTCAGGACCACTGATTAGTGTCGTTATTTGGAATACACTGAGTGTCAGAGTTTTTTTAAACTAGCCTAAGAAGGAAATCAATCTGGACCAGAAAATGATGTACGATTACGTAATATGTCAGAATACTCAGATGTCGGATATCACAGAGTACACTGTATACTGATTGGAGGGTACCTGCATCCACCAGGTTTATGATAATAACAATTCAATTATTGTAATCTATTATTGTAGGGATGAATCCTGAAGTTGACACCAGTTTTTTACCTGATAGAGACAGAGATGAAGAAGAAAATAAATTAAGGTAACTTTTTATTATAGATCTTTAGTAGCTCACAAATTTTGCAAGAATCTTTTAGAACATGCTTCTTTCATATCTTTTAATGATTCACAGTACCCCATGGAACTTAGTGAAGATAACCAACAGTATAGTTAACAGCAAATATTCAGTGTTCTGATTGGAGAAGCTGATTGATAGCAGAAACATTTGGAAGTAACAATTGCTGTAATACAGTCCTCTCAATATTTGTTTTGTTCTTTCCACGACTGAATTCCTTTATGATACTATGCATCCAGTTTTAGAAAAATCTATGTCTTGGTCAGACTGTGTGGTTAACTTTCAATATCAACTATTAAAGCTTTTGGTCATATGGATTAGATTAAAACCCTAGATATTGTATATTACATAAAATTCCTGTGGTCATGTCATGGTAAAAACCTTCAATTGAATGTAGAGTGCCTTCATTTGATTTCTGTTAATGTTGAATATTTCAGAGAACAACTCAGACAAGAATGGGAAGAGAAACAAGAACAGATTAAACGTGAAGAAATAGATATAACCTACAGTTATTGGGACGGCTCTGGTCATAGACGTACAGCTAGAATGAAGAAAGGCAACAATATACAACAATTCTTACAGAAGTGTCTAGAAAGCTTGCGTAAAGAATTTAATGATCTGAAATCAGTGACAGTCGATCAGTTGATGTATGTGAAAGAAGATTTGATCATAGCTCATCATTATTCTTTCTATGATTTTATTGTGACTAAAGCTCGTGGAAAGAGTGGTGCTTTGTTTAATTTTGATGTTTATGAAGACGTGCGTATGGTGAATGATGCCAAAATAGAGAAAGATGAATCCCATGCAGGAAAAGTTTGTTTACGTAGTTGGTATGAAAGGAATAAACACATTTTTCCTGCTAGTAGATGGGAACCCTATGATCCAGAGAAAAGTTGGGATGGTTATACAATTTCTGATAAAAATGCAGCCAAAATTTTGGTTAAATAAATCCATATTGAGATTATTGACTTCTGATTACTGCATGAGGTTTGTACACAAACTAATCTTGAATAAACAGACAATATATATTACGGATCATTGGTATTGTGAGAGATCTCACTAAAATACTAAATGTATTCTCCATTCATTTAATAAAAATTCAGAATATTTAACATGAATCAAGTGTAGGAGTTCAAGTTGAATGTTATACTTATAGCCATATCCTTAGCCTATTGAGTTTCTGGGGGCTGCTCTACATGTTCTGAATTCATGAAATCAACTGTACGATACAAAACACAAGTTGGAACAGAGTTCAGAACGCATTCCATGTGTGCCAAAGAATTAGTAGGTGCAGATATAATTTGGCGGGAAAAGGAATAGAAGGGAAAATTTTGAATGTGACTTAATCTTGTTTTGAACTCTTTGATTGAGGCCAGAATGGGAACAAATGGAACTTGTTCAGAACTCACCAATTAAGTGTCACCTGGATTTGTTTGATAGATGTATTTGATTCTCTTTGTTTCATGTACATGAAAATAAATCTAGGATCGCACTTAATGATTTTCACATGAAAAAAACATTTAGACACATTGAGATTTTATATCTGTGCTATATTATTGCCTGATTCTGATATCTGTTTATAGTCTTTTGGACATCTGGCCCTCCAAAATATCAAGAGCAGTTCTCCTTTCGATATTTGACCAGACGAGACTACATGGAAATAATAGACTGCTCTCCTCTGATATTTCTATGAGCAGCCACATGTATGAGTAACACAATTCTTACCGTGCTCAAGTCCAAATGATCCTTTTAGAAGATCATGATTTTATAAATGAATAAAACTAAGAATTTGACAGCAAAATATTTATTTCTTGTTGACAAAGCAATGACTATGACGTTTTGTTAAAATCATGCCTTACATAATTAATAATAATAATAATAATAATAATGAAATGGAAGACAGCTAGGACATGCTTATCTTCAAGACACAAAACAAACTGACAAAACATAACAATATATCTAACAAAATACTTATATTTCATTTAATAATTTTGACATGATTACGTTATTGTTTAAACAGAAAGATCACAGTTCATTCAAGATAGAAAGAATTATTTCATTGGCAAAAACTTTACCTTAAGCCTTTATTAACCAAAGCTCTTACCATTTAATACCACTTTCATCTTAACGTAACACAGTTAAAATTGTAGAGGGATTATGTCCCGATTAGAAAAATGTGGTATATACTTCCAAAGCTCGCTTAATTAAGAAATGATCCCTACAGAATAAGAATCTCAAACCAATGAAATTTCGCCTAACCATTCCCATGTATTTTGGGTTTAGACAGTCAAACTTAAGAAAAAGCAGATAAACCTTCCAAGTCTTGAGCAAGCCAACCTAAATTAGCATAGAAAAAATATACCAAGGCACTCATCTACAAAAGATAGACTAAAAAGCTTTGATTTACAAAAGTGCTTTGAATATAAAAGAGTGTATGGAAGCAATAAGGGATTGTTGGTTGTTTAAACATGAGAGCTCATAGAACAAAGAATTAAATTTTCTTCATAAAAAATCTCATAGCAATCATGTGAAAATATTAACATTTGGTGTTAACTAAGCACTATTGTATATTTTTGTTATCTTTTGGAAATTGAGTCAATGGGGCTCTAAGGGAAGGCAAATTATAGATATCAAAATCCTTTCTGTAAGAAAAAATCATTCTACCCATAATAAACTACAAATTATTAAAAAAAATTCTTCTTTAAGATGTAGTTTTATGGGACAAATGAAAAATATCTGAAATTTTCCATCTGTGTGGTCTAATACTCAGTAATAGACAAAGTATACCAAAAAGGTTGGTAGTCTACTAGCTTTGAAGGGAAAGTTCTTTCGACATTCAAATAACAAAACAGGTCACAAATTACTACGAAACAAATTATTCAGGATTTCTCTTTGGTTTACAAACTATACCACAGTTTCCATTTAGCTGCTAATACAACAATAGAAGTGCTTGCGCTTGCATTAAATGCAATTGTTATGGTTTATTTCAATTCAATATTGCACATTTAAAGATCAAAGGACTGTTCGATTCAACTTTCGTGAAATTTATAAATTTTGCTTGATTTTTGTGGAACGAAGAAATTGTTTTTATTGAACCTCAGATTAAAGATTAATCTCAGTTAAAAGCTAAGACAAAACAATTACTTTTTGGTTCATCAGCACTTTTTCAAATTTTTTACAAAATGTGCTACTTTCTTATCCAAAGTAAGTGTGTTAAGGCAATAGCACATGTATCTTTTCAATTTATACTCAGATAAAATGATTCAACAGTCTTTGTGCTGCTTGGGTACGTAAATGCAGCTTAAAAAAATACATCAAAATTCATTAGAAAATGTTACACAAAAATTAACTAATGCCAAAATATCATTTTTAATAAAAATACATTTTAATCAAATCTAATTTCATGATTTTATTGAAGAGAGCTTAAAGAGATTGTAAAGGAGTTTTCGGAATTTTTTATGTGTATTAAGGACATTGCTAGCAATTAGCACCATTACATATTTTAATCAGACAGATTGTTGTTCCTACAATTTCACTAAAACCAAGTGTTTGATGAGATCACTAATCGCAAAATATGCTTCATCTCATAAAGCCAATGTCAAACACTTAATTTTAGTGGAATTGCAGGAACCACAGATATCTGATTAAAAATTGGAATGGTGCAAATTGATGCTATCAGTGTCCCTGATACACATAAAAATGCTATAAAACCTCTTTACAATCCTTTTAATTTGAAATTAATCAGACCTAATGAAAATTTCTAATGAAACAGGACTACACAGTAGTTAAAAACACAAAATAAAAATAAATGAAATACAAGACAAGTTAATCAAAGCACTAAAAATTATTCAAATAAAAATACAAACTTTATCCTTTGGCATGAAAACATTTGATGCACTATACATAAACAATGAAACTATAGACAATGAGCACTTATATAAATATACTATAATACATATACACATACTTCATATTATATCATGGTGGGCCTTTATATTAATATCATTGTATTGTGGGATACTTCTTATACTTTTGGCATGATAAAATTAGTTATCCAAATTAAGGAATTATAAATAACTTAACATATATATATATATGTGTATTATGGGGTTGCTTGATTTGTGCGTTCTGCACATTCAATAACACAAGATAGAACAGAGTTCAAAACCTGTTCCATGTGTGCTGAAACACACACCGTAGTTGCAAACAGAATTCAAAATGGCGGAGAAGGAAATAGATGGGAATATTTTGAATGTGACATATTCAGCTTCCCTACTGTTCGATTGAGGCTAGAATTGGAACAGACAGAACCTGTTCAGAACTAACCAATCAAGCGCCACTCAAAAACCTGGCCAAAACTAGAATAAATAATTCATGTGTTATTCATGCTGTAGTTGATAGAATAAACAATTGCGAAAGATTCAAAGACAAATTGTGGCTTACCCAAAACATTTTTCTCTCTACAAAGAACAATAAGAAACATGCTTGAGTAGAGGAAAATTACAGATTAAAGTTGTCATGCTTTGTGAACATGAACGATTGCTGAAATTTCTTAAGATCATATGTTACTTGCATACAGTCATCAATAACAAATTTTTCCAGCTAGCATAAGTAATTGCACCATCCATATCACTTTTCAAAAAGGAAAACTGATTTTCTGGCCCAACTTCATCTACCATACATAATTAAATTTTTCTAAATATTTCAAAATCACATAAATTAAATGGATTACATTATATGACTAGGGACTTAAACAATTAATATTAATTAATAAACGGGAACATAATTAATTGTTAAATCAACTACAAACTAACAAAAAACAGTTTATTTCTTAAATCATAATTCGTGCATCTTTCTATGTTGAATGAATAAAATCCATTATAATATTAAAACACTACCTTGGAATTACCATATTTACCCAAATAATGCCTTAGATGAACATGAAAATTGTTGAATTTATCTAATTAAAAACAAAAAACAGATATGTAATTTTGTCATATTTATTAACTGTGACATAACTACAGAAAAACTTTTCATTTTGTTATTGGAATGCTTCTACAAAAATTGTGCTAATAAATGTTGCTATTCAGACATTACCGTATTCTACTTAAAAAAATTTGTAGGGTTCCTCTCACTAGACCATAATTACTAAAAAAAATTACAAAATAGGGTTCCCAAAGATAAAATTTAAAAGACTGACAACTGTACAGTGAATCGACAAATACAACATCATTAAACATAATGCTATTCAGCTATGTTATGCTATGCTATGGTATTTTGACCTACCTAATAGCTAAATTATTGGCAAGTCAACACGGCATACGAGACAGTTAATTATAAATTAATAATACAATCTACCCTAAATACTGAACAACTGAATATTAACCTAGACATTGTAGGTCAACACGTGTCCCTTTTTAAAAGACAGACTCAAACCAGATTTGGCAAAAATTTGTAAAAGTTACCCAATGCCTATTGACAAAAAAGCAAGTCAAAAAAATGCATCAAGTTACGAAAATTACTAAATTAGACAGAAATTAATATCTGGTATGTAAATTTCTAATTCTTTACAAATTTCATGATCCTAATGTACACAAACATAGTCTAAAATCTACAATTACATTATGTATTTCTTATCAGAACTATACCTCGTTCGATACCTCTCGTGAATACCGTGTTCACAGGGTCATTGCTGTGAATTTCTGTCCGATATTGTGATTCACTCATATAAACTACTTTGGAAAGTCGTGAAAATAGGAAAACTTTTCCACAACTTCTACGACCTTCACCTTGACCCTGTGCAAAAATGGGTTTCTATTTTGTTCAAAGACGTTCAACAAAAGTTGATAAAGAGCTTGAAATTGTAATATAGAAATATATTAACACCGCTAATATAATCTCTTCATCCACCTTAGTTATAAAGTCATGAATATTGCCCAAACAGTCTTCACTTTAGCGATTTGCAAGAAAGTTGTAAATACTATTTTCACAGCAGGTATCGAATACAGCAATACATTATACAAATAATATTGATAAACACATAAAAACTTAATAAGATTTTAAAATGTTAAATTTAGCTTTTTGTGTTGTTAATTAAATGTTCAGCTTGCTGTGTATGCGTAATGTTTATACAATTACTTTTATCTTAAGGTTTAAGCTCAGAATTAAGCGAATATTTGAACATTCAGCTCTTAATCTCATTTTCTAAAACCCATGAATAGTCAGTGAAGAGTGTAGAAATAGGAAGTAAAATATCAGCTTCCATATAAAGGTACAAATAAAAAATAAGCTTCTATCTGAAAGCTTAAAATTTAGCTTTCACTTGTCATGATGCAATTCATGTAAAAAAAAGAGCTTGTCTTTATCTAGTAGTAATGTGTTGTAAACGTTAAGCTTAAAATCAGCTTCTTATCAAAATATTGTGTACCAATAAGCTTTGTGTTAAAATAGGAAGTAAACATTCAGCATTTAAGTTCTTATCCTATAAAACTTTGTTACAAAATTTTACATAACATCAATATTTCATCCACTATCTTCCCTACATTTTCCTTCATAAAAACATTTTCAAGCCATTACAGTTTATGTTGGTGCCTTAATGGCTTCCATAAATCTTCAAAAATATCACAAAATCCTTTCATCCAAGCTGAATAAATAGTCTCACTTAATCCATTCCTTTAACATTCAATCTGTACAGTATTGTTCACATGTAATATTCTGTGCGTAGTTAGTAACTCACTGTATCTGAACACAATGTTCACTTCATAATGCTGTATCATAAAATCCAAAGATAGCAATTGGCATACTCTTAATATGTGTCTGCCACTGTGATGATAGTTGAAAAAACTTGACTCCTGTCCATTCTACACTATCAATAACAACTACAAGAAATACAAAATAAAATTTATTCGATAGGCTTCAATTTGAAATAAAAAAACTAGAAGGAAAAAAAAGAAAGATAGATTGATCAAATTGACCAGACTACGTATTCTTGAAACGATCTTAGAGCTAGGATTACTAGAATCAATGTTAGAAGATAAGAACAGATAATAGGACATCCTATTGCTAAGATCGTTTCGAGAATACATGGCTTGAACTAAACCCAGGGTCCAAATTCTTCCAATTCCCTTTTTCCTCTCTTGCATATCATTTTCAAAATAAGATTTCAATAAACATGCCGCAGACAGGTTATGCACTTTCAATGGAAAAATTTTGATCAGTGATTTTGGCAGTAATATTTTTTAAAATATACATAGATACCTTTGAGAGTGAAATTTTGACTTTTAGATGTACAGATGAGACGATTTATACCATCTATAATTTGACTTTTAGATTCTATATCTTTACCTTTCTTTCCAATTCTCATTACAACTATAATATACAAAATCTCATTTTACCTCATATTTTACTCTCATTTTGTAGTTAAACGTGACATATCAACAAATTAGCGGTAATATGCAAAAGTAATTTGCCCCTCAAAATAGTTTTAATTATCAAATTGGATGAAATAGTCAACTAAGCATCAGGAGAAACATAATAAAATTCTTATTTAAATAATAAAATTCTTATTTAAAAAATAATAAAATTCTTATTTAAATAATAAAATTCTTATTTAAAAAATGATAAAATTCTTATTTAAATACTAAAATTCTTATTTAAAAAATAATAAAATTCTTTTTTAGAAAAATAAGAAAATTCTTTTTTAGAGAAATAATAAAATTCTTTTTTAGAAAAATAATAAAATTCTTTTTTCGAAAAATAATGAAATTCTTTTTTTAGAAAAATAATAAAATTCTTTTTTAGAAAATTAATAAAATAATTATTTAGAAAAATAATAAAATTTTTATTCAGAAAAATAATAAAATCCCCCTTTAGGAAAAATAATAAAATTCTTGTAGTGAAATAATAAGATTCTTATTCAGAATAATAATAAAATTCTTTTTTAGAAAAATAATAAACTCTTATTTATAGAAAAATAATGAAATTCTCATTTAGGAAAAATAATAAAATTCTTGTAGAGAAATAATAAGATTCTTATTCAGAAAAATAACAAAATTCTTATTCAGAAAAATAATAAAATTCTTATTTAGAAAAATAATAAAATTCTTATTTAGAAAAATAATAAATATTCTTACTTATACAAATTATAAAATTCAATAATCCTAAAGAAAAAAAACGATGATAATTCTTACTCAAAAAAATTTAAATTCTTACTTTTTTGTTTCTTTTCTTTGGTAACTACAATCATAGAGAAGGTCTGAGATGTTATATCACCAGTACTGGGAAGACGAGAAACATTCAGTGATCTAAATGCTGTTTTTAATGAACATTTATTGGTTTCTTTCTTACTACCTCTATCTTTGTCAAAGCCTTCTGACCTATTAGCTACAGTCCAATAATCTACTTGTAGCTCAACATAATCTGTTTGTGTGGAACTTAAACTGGGAACTTGACTGAAAACATACAATAATGCATACATACATTACCATTACATTAACTTGGTGGACTCTTTAAAAGGGATGCTCAGTTGAGAAACCCTGTCAGAGTGGTATCAGGTTTTTATTGCTGAAAAAACTTTTGAGAAAGAAAGTAATAACCATATTCTAACAAATTAAGATCACAAGGATCCTTTTCACTAGCTGATCCTTGGCCACGTGGGTTTCTCTCTACCCATTTACATCTGAGTTGACTGGAAATAATGACTAATTCAAGGTAACAAGACTTTCACATGATGACATATATTAGAAGACATGGCCACCTTTAAGAGCTTGTCCAGTAAAAGACACCATGTAAAGTTTAGAGAGTTACTCTTTACGCAGCAACTACTGTGCCAAAGATAAAAGAAATAAAGAAGAATATTACCTAGCTGGGGGAGACATTGCACCTATATTAGGTGAACTAGGTGGTGTATGACCTTCTTTTTGTTTTTCTATTAGTTGTGTGGTTGAGGGTGGAGAACTTGATAAATTTGGAGGACTGTTGGCCCCTTCTTCCATATCAACTACAAAAAAAAAAAAACAGTCGTCTTATATAAACCTTAATATATATTGCAAGTGTATGTATTCACAATACTTTTATTAACAACTATATTTCTCTATCATTTGACATATCTAGAAATAAATTGAGTCCATTAAGATATTACTGAATAAGTTACAATGTCCACATGGTACTGTAAATACAGTCCAGGTTAGGATTGGATTGATTTAATTGTACGAAACAGGAACTGTATTGTGGTACTGTGTGGTACATCGCAGAATATTTGGACAATATCTTGATAGACTCATTTATTGTTCAGCTTTGTACAGACACCAAAAGTTCTGCCAAATTGGGCTTTTAGCTAACAATCGTATACATGGACATTGGGACAACTTGATGGGTTGTGCTTATTTTAGAATAAGCCAGGCACTGATATGATTACTGTCCTTAATGCAATGTGACAAACAAACAATACAACTTCTTAGATTGGTTGGACGTTTTCTGACGAGGAACTTGGTGTCATCAAGAATAATTTCAGATCTTAGTTAAAAGGAAGTAACTCACACAAACTAGGGATTGTAAAGAGGTTTTCCAAATTTTTTATGTGTATCGGGGACACTGATAGCATCTATTTGTTCCATTCCAATTTTCAATCAGACGTCTGTGGTTCTAGCAATTCTACTAAAACTAAGATGTCACCCTAGCAAAGGTATTATATATCCCCAAAATACATACATATATTTAGAAAACCTCTTTACAATGCCTTTAATTTTAACAAAAGATTAGTTACTTACCTGACATACTAAATGTGTCTGGTGTACCAATTTTCACTTCCTGTAAAAGAAATATATTCAAATGCAGTTTTAAATTCTCATGTAAAGTTGAAACCAATGACTTTATTTCCATAAAAAGGAACATAAAAATAACTTGTTAATATTTATCTACCAGATAAAAGAGGACAAGTTACATGTCTGCATTCCAGAAGGATTATGTACTGATTTGAATATTTTGTAATATCTATATATTAGTTTAAATGAGGAGTTACAATGTTATTTTGATATATTCAGGTCAGATTTTCATTTTGGAAAGTTTATTATCTCATATCTCTTAATAAATAACATAATCTTACTTACACTAACAAAAGGGATAAATATCTGTTTAGCTTCATCAGAACTGAAAAAAAATATATATATCTTATTACCCTAAAATTTACATCTAACAACAAATTTACTTGTAGTACAACAAATTTACCTATAGTACAACAAATTCACCTATAATATTACAAATTTACCAATAGTGCAACAAATTCACCTATAATATTACAAATTTACCAATAGTGCAACAAATTCACCTATAATATTACAAATTTACCTATAGTACAACAAATTTACCTATAACTCAACAAATTTACTTACTTTTTGCCTTTACACATGACCATAGCTTCAGCAATAGGAAGAGGATGTATCACTGTTTGTGATGATACATATTTATTAACTCTGTTGACAATTTCACTTGAATCTATAAACATAACATTAAAAACAATCAGTAATCTCATCAACAATCAGTCATTTCATCAACAATCAGTCATTTCATCAACAATCAGTCATTTCATCAACAATCAACAATCAGTTATTTCATCATTTTTTCTAATATACCGGAGTTTTGCAGATCCCAGGAATCTACATAGGTTTAAAATCCCCGCACCTGCAAAGAAGCGGAATGTCCCCATTTAACAGGGCTTATTATTTCTGTCTCTACACCAGCTGACATCTGTCCAATTAGATATCAGAGGCTGGAATAGAGACAGATGTTTCGGTCTGGTTACCATGATATATAGTAAGAGAGAAAAACACTTACCTAATTTAGCAGAATCTGTGCGTTCAAATGTATCTTTCCATGCCATATCCATAAATAGAGAAGAATATGTTTGATCTATGTTAGCTATGTGTCTTCCTATTGAACTAGAGCCTGTCAACACAAAAACATAGGCATAAAATACCAACTTTTTCATCACATATTTAATACAAACTTTTTCATCATATTAAAATAAACCATTTTTTATAGTTACTAACTGTCGCTTTGATCTTACAGTTTTTTTTTCAAATGCCTAATTTAGATCTTCTAGTCATTTAGAGCCATTTAAAAAAGGCAGTTCTTGTATAATAGGGCTTACACAAAACTGACTGGAATGTAGGGCTTTACATTGTGTATTTAAATAACTTTATTACAGTGGAATAATTCTTACCTAATGGAATGACTAGAAATTTAGTATAAGCCTGCCAATCTGGAGATTTGGTAGAAAATTGTTCAACGTATGGTCTTAAAACAGAGTTAATATAACCATCATTACCAGCTACTCCTAGTTTAATAGGACCTGGCTGTTTACTGTTACTGTTACAACTGAAATTAGAACATTTTATTTTAATCCATAGAGTATAAACTTGTTTATTATTTGATATTAATATCATCTGGTAAGAAACTCTAACCATATCCATAACCATATCAACAGGCTTTAACAGATGATGTCAATGGATTGTTACCCTGGAGACTAAATCATCTGTTGAATATTGGAGTTAAAATTTCTCAGACTGACTCTCAATAAATCTCTAATTATTTTGACAATTGTCAGCTGGAAAACAAGCTGACTCCTAGCCCAAGAAACTCTAACTATATCCACAGGCTTCAGCAGATGAATTGTTGCCTTTCTCAGACTAAATCTCTCATTATTTTGACAGTTGTCAGCTGGGAAACATAATGACTCTTACTATCTTATTTTTTTACAGATTGACAGATATCTTTGACAGTTTTCAGCTGTAGTAGTCGTGAATCCAGGGATTTGAAAATATAGTAATGCTGACAGCAATAGTAAAATACTTACTATTTTTGAATTTTAGCTACAAGAAATGTTATAGCTGCTTTAACATCAGCATTAGAACATGTACAAATTAATCTCATTTGTTTTTCTTGTAGTTTCTGTACTAATAACTGAAATATAAACAATGTGATGACTTGTTCACAAAATTGACCATAAAAATAAGGAATTACAAAAAATTTCATTTTAATTTTGAAATGATTTAGATCAGTGACATCACTACTCCCAAAACCATATCACATACAAGTATCTACAGGTGATGTTGAGAAGAATCTTTCTTTATTTCCTTTCTGTGAATTAAAATATTGGATCAAGACAGTGATTGTGTAGGATATACTTTGAGTCATATGCAAACAATGTGAACACCAGCAATACAATCTTGCTTTGAAAATGGCCAATTTTCAGTTAAAATTTGTTACATTTCAACCTAGCTTTTCTCTATAATTGTATCTTAAAAGGACACCCTTGAAAACAATTCCTTCTCTCTATCACAATATAACATTACTCTGCCAGTTCTCTCACATTCTAAATTTCTGGCCAAACTTAAAGATTGGTTTCCTTTCAAATTAAGCAAACTATTTGATTTTTTAATTGATTTTATTTTGATGTGTTTTTAATGAATTATCATGCATACTTAATCATATCATTGTGTTCTTATTGCATATAACTATGAGTTTTAACCAATCGTAAATTTCCATGTACGTACAGTCTGGATAAACAAAAAAGACTTTTTGACCTTTCTTGATCAGTCACTCATTGGAATTCTGCTAATAATTCTCTTCTAATTTAGCTAATTATGAATTAATTGTGGACATGCGAGACAAACTGGTATTTTTCCAAGTCATTAGAACACTTTCTATTCATATAAGTATTAGCATTTTCCATTTCATAAATAAAAACAAGGGAACCCATCTTTAAATCTTGACAATAGTTATCTGAATTAGATTATTTTAAAGAGGTAAAAAATAAAATTGTAATTATAAGTACCTGGCCTTGCCATTCTGATGTATTGACTAGTATTAAACTCTCTGGTACTTTATCATCACCAGTATCTAGTACATTACTAAGCTGATCTAACAGTACTTTCCGTGGCTACCAAAATAACAACAATTATATACTTATTGTGATACAAATATTCTGAATAGTTATTGACAAACAAGAAACATAATTTACTAAACAGATGCAAAGTGTCACTAGCATGCAAAACTAGCACTATAAACTACATTAAAGACAGTCAAAATTTCTTTATTACATCAAAATGAAAGAGGTACATGTTCAAAGTGAACAGTCTATTAATTAAAATTTACTTATTTAAACCTCAAACAGAATTTTTAATATAAAGGAAAGTCAAAGCTGAAAGAAAGTTTTGTTAATGAAAACTCTATTAGTAAGAACACAAGATATCTTATAATAAATTATATGTGCATAAATTAGATGTGTTATAAATTAGATGTGTTATAAATTAGATATGTTATAAATTAGATGTGTTATATATTAGATGTGTTATAAATTATTAGATAGGAAATAGAAAGGGTGTATATAAAATCCATCTGAAACTGTTTAATAATAAAAGAAAGTAAACAGAACTATGGCACATAAAGACAAGAAACAGGATCATCATCGTAAAAATCTAAGTCCAGTCTATGAATTCTATTTCTAGGTATTTAAAGACTCTTACCACTGTCATAAAGTCATCTTAATATAAGATTATCATGATATCTGCACATGTATTTTAATAACAACCTAGTTATAGTCTACCACTAATAGTCAAGCTATTACCAAATTCATCTAATAACTTCTTGTATCACAGAAGTTTGTAAGTTAACAATTTGACGCTGGCAAATACATTCAATCAGAGTCCTCGACAGAAAGTCTGTAAACAAAGTCTGTTTTTCTGTTGACAGCTTTGATTGACTATATTCGCTGGCATACAATCCAATCAAATAATACAAGAATAGCGGCTAATGTAGTCAAGGTATAAGATGAAGTTCGTATTAGCTTGATATTGTAAAGATTCTTCAGTGGTATTTTTCAGTTAATGGTAAAAGAACTAGATGTTGAATTTCATGGTTGAAGTTTATGTTTAACACTAAGGCTAATATGTGATATATCTCAAAAATCATAACTATGAATTATATGAATGGGCTTAATTTATAGAGAAGACCAGATTTAAAAACACTAGCATTCAGAGACCCCCTCCCACACTCTCCCCACCCCCCTTTGTAAAATCATGACAATATTAGATTTATTTCATTAACAAAATGAGTTACTTTCCCTTGAAGTAATGAATAAATGGAGAAACTAAATATCATTATTGATTTTAATTAGAAATAATTAGTAGGGTACTCAATGTTTTATTATACAATACAAATAGCATTTAATTATTATTAATAATTTACTTCTATTTATCTTCTAGTCTGTTATGCATTATGATTAAAGGGATTGTAAAGAGGTTTTCTAAATTTTTCATGTGTATCAGGGTCACAAATAGCATCAATTTGCACCAATCCACATTTAAATCAATTGATTAATCGCAAGATATGCTTTATCACAAAAGTCACTTCGCGATGTGAGTGAAGCACTAATTAGTCCACAAAAAATTGTTCCACTGACAACAAAATGCCAGTTGAAATCTAAAGGTATGTTGTTTACATAATGCTTATTTCAACACCAAAAGGGATTGTAAAGAGGTGTTTGATGACGTTACTGATTGCAAAATATGCTTGCATCACATAAAGGACTTCGTGACATGATAAAATGCTTAGTTCCAGTGGAATTGCAGAACAACAGACATCTGATTGAAAACTGGAATGGTACAAATGGATGCTATAAGTGTACCCGATACACATGAAAATTTTTTAGAAAACCTCTTTTCTATCCCTTTAACTACCATTGCTTGCTGACATATAAATCAGACAAGTCTATCATTTTAAAAAATATCAAAATAAGCAAGTTCCACAATCAAAATGGTTCTTTCACCATTTTCATAATGTCAAGCTATTACAAACTAGTCTAATACCTTGACATCATTAAGAACGTTTCTTGTATCACAGAAGTTTGTAAATGCAGTGATTTGTGTGGGTTGTATGTATTTGGTGTTTTCAATGACATATTTTTTGAGAAGGAAAAAATTTTGCTAATTAAAGAATAACAAAGACAGTCTAGGTAGAACTTAAGATATGATAAGACAAAATGTTAAGTCAGTAAAATTATAAAATGTCAGAAATTAAGACAAGATAGTATCAAGTCATTAGTGAAATTATTGAGCACTCCAAAGTTTGATGTGAGAATGACTACTATATACCAACCAAATTATAGTCTATACCCTGCTCTACCATATCCTGTCCATTAGATCTCCTCTGTAATCAGTAGAAACATTTTGTCAATCAATGTAGATAAGAATACTTTTTATAATATCATTTGTCAGTTCAAAATTTATACAAGTGACTACAAAGCAAGTGCAACATAGAAACAGGAAGTGACACCATACCAAAGAAAATTATAGAGATGCCTAATATTTTTCTTTGCAAAATCAGTGCATTTGGGTTTCCATGCTCAGGATTAGGGTGCCTTGGCTTAAAATTCAAACTTTCATGATAATATGAAGCAAAATTTTTCTTTCAACTGCCAACATACAAAAATTCATAGCTTTAAGTTTCTTTGTTGGTTAGAATCCTGGTCTTTGTGCAAAACATTTCCATTTTATACAGTCAAGTAACCTAATTTCGTGGAAACCTATTATTCGTAGATTTCCGGAAAGGATTAATAATTTACATGAGCGACCTTGCGCGACCTCCGCATTAGTTTGTTTTGATAATCATGGGTTTTCTCTACAATATCAGCTAGTAGAATGAATCCAGTAGTTTCAAGCAAGGTAAAATGTATTAATGTATATTTTGACAAATACAAAATGGCGGATTTCACTTATTACGAAAATCGAAATAAACCAATTTTGATTATTTTGTAGAATATCTGAGGAAACATCTAAGACATAAATTTTTTTTTTTCGTTTTTTTAACTTTGACGAAATTTGGTGTTGAATCCTTATATCTATGAAAATAGGTTACACCACTGTATCACATTAAATTTCAGTTTGTTGATAAAAAATACATAAAAAATAAAATAAAACAAACTCATACAAACCAAGAAAGAGAAAAAAGATACAAAAGCTAAGAAAAAGTAAGAATATTGAGCAGAAAAGAAAGCATAAAGAAGCTTCAAGCTGTTAAATGAAGAAAGAATTGTTACACTAATATAAATAATCTCAACAACCCCTAGAATAGTTGATAGTTGTAAAATAGTTCAGAATTGTGGATAATTTGAAAACTGACTCTTCTCACTTAATGGTATTTGAGAACAATTTTGAGCTAAATTGTATTGAAGAAAGTGTTTTTGTGTAAACCTTGAAAACTTAACATCTTTATCAGAGCAATGTACTGTTTTAAGGTTAATATTCAAACTCATTTAGAAATAACGGATAAAATTCTAGGACATTTGGTTTTACTCCGCAGAATAGTAACCAGTCATAATTATAGCTGTAAACTTATATCATTGAGTATGGGGGAATTTTTTTTAGATGAACAAAAGATGACAGTCATATGTGTAACTATTAAGTGAAGAAAGTCAGTTATTTGAACTCAATCAAGGAGTTAAAGGTACTAGTTTAAATTTGAGAATATAAAACGCACCAAGTCATCCACCCCTCCTGCACTATGACGTCTGTCAGCAAAGTTATAACCAGTTTTTAGTTTACTTTCCCTGTAGGATGTTGATCTCTCTCGAATAAAGTTTTGTGTTTTTAGTAGAGGTGATCTTGGTCTGGGTGACGATTCACTGGGAACCGAATCAGAACAATCAGCATCATGCTCCTATTATAGTGGTATAAACAAGCATCAAGGCAATAAACGAATAAACATGCAGGATAAACAATATCAACATTCATTTCATATAAACAGATAAACAAACTGGGCTGCAAACTTGTATCAAATTTTGTTAATTGGGAAGTAACTTTTTCAATGCTAAATTCACAATTTGGATCTTTTACATATTTATTTTTGTTAAGTTTGAAGGCCAAATCAACACATCAATTTGTTGTTAGCAAGACAAGAATGTTTGTAAAACAGGATCCCACTCTTTTGCGGGATAAGTCAACAAAACTTTTCAGAGAATTCACTAATTTAGTGTGACATTAAACTAGATTTATCTTTTAAAAATTGTGAATTTAGCCTTTGATTGTAAGAAGTGTTCAATGAAAATGAAATCTAGACTTAATCTTTGGCACTCACAAGAACATCTAACATGACAGAAGCCATTGTACTCTGCAATAGACATTCAATTTGGTGTTAATCATATTGTGCTCAAAATATCAGCTAATGAAATAGTAAGCATGCCCTGCAATGTGTATAGCAATAACAAGAAATGTCATGCCACAGACAATTGACCTCACTTTATTCAAAAAAGACAATGATAAAAAAACTTTTGCCATTTTGGAAATGAAATATTACTGTCATCCATCAGTACTACCAACATGAAATTGAATTTTTACAATAATCAATCAGACTTTAAGACAGTTTTTAAAATCAGGATAGACTCATGCATGATCTTGTCACCTTTCTAATACTTCAACAGATAAAATGTTCATGCTCAAATACAACACTTAATATACCTAGGAAAACAATGGGGGGGCAAACCTTGCAATCCCACAATCCAGCAGTTTAGTATTCCCGCTCAAATTCTGGCAAGCAAAAATCATGTTAGATAAAAAATGATTTGGGATAAGAAAACTTACCGCATTCATATCTGAATCTGTTCTCTTTATAATACATTCATCACTTGGTCTACTTGATTCCTATAATATAATATTATTCTCATTGAAACACATAACAACAAATTAAGTCAGACCTCATATTAAAAGCAAGTAAGAACATTGTTGATTGTATATTGGCTAATTATGTTTTCCGAGTTGTTTATGTCTGTACCACATTATGAACATTATGCTTTTACAATGGGTTCATGTAAATTTTTGTGGATTTTAAAAATCAGAACAATATCCCAGAATACCAAAAGCTAGAGATAAATCATAAATAATGTCCATGTATTGACTCAATTTCAAAGACAAGTAAAGAAGATAAAAAAAATACATACTGTTGATTTTGAGACCTCTTTTTCATGACTGCTGCTACTTCTTCCAGAGAAAAATGGTCTAAAATGATACCAAATATTTACTTAGCTGAGTAAACAAGAATCTTTGAGTATCCAAGGAGGATATAAAATAACTTATACGTTGACTGCACTATCCACCTTTCTCATATCACAGGAGTTTGAAAACGCATCGATTTGATTGGATTGTAAGTTAGCAAATACGGCCAATCAGAGGCCCCAACAGAGAGTCTGTAAACAATAAGTCATATTATTTAGAATGTTTCTGTCCAATGCTCTTATTGGTTGTATTTTCCGTATTTAATCCAATCAAATTACTGCATTGTTTGAGACAAGAAAATCGGCTATTGCAGTCAAGGTATAAGACCAAGGGTTATTGACAGTGTGAAGTTGTAGGGACCAGAGCCAGCTGAATCCTCAAATATTTAAATAAATAAATGTCTTTTACCTGAGTCTAGGTTTAGGTGTCGACATAACACTCATAGTATCTAATTCTGGTCCACTGTCACTCAAATCATCTAATTCATCAAATAGTAAATCATCAATATCACCTGCTGGATTATCAGGATCTATCAAATCATGATCAGCTTCTGAATCAAGAGCCTAAAATAATAAACATGATCTATTAAATCATGATCAGCTTCTGAATCAAGAGCCTGAAATAATAAACATGATCTATTAAATCATGATCAGCTTCTGAATCAAGAGCCTGAAATAATAAACATGATCCATTAAATCATGATCTGCTTCCGAATCTAGAGCCTGAAATAATAAACATGATCTATTAAATCATGATCTGCTTCCGAATCTAGAGCCTGAAATAATAAACATGATCCATCATGATCAGCTTCTAAATCTAAAGCCTGAAATAATAAACATGATCTATTAAATCATGATCAGCTTCTAAATCTAAAGCCTGAAATAATGTGCAGGACCTGTTAAATCATGATCTGCTTTTGAAATAGGGCAAGTTTGAAATGTACAGAATTCATGATCACATAAACAAATCATTGTATTTGTATTCTATTTGGAGTACTGCTTTACTTTATGAAAAAAGTCTCATACTTACATCTTCTGATACTTTGAATCTTTTCCATAAAGCTATAAATCTTTGTTTTAAATTTCTTTGCTGAAAGATAACAGTGATATAAAGGGATAAAGAGATGATATATGGAGCAGAATGCAGAATGGTTCTTTAATAGGGCAAAGGAAACATCTAATTGATCAAACTAAGATGTCCATTGACTAAAATTTGGCAATTTTTAGAAATATATTCAGCTTAATAGTTCCTTTACCCACAGAACAGAAGACATTTCATATCAATGATACCACTAAATCATTGGAAATATCAGCAGTGAAAATGCTTTCTTCACTGTTACATTTATAATTTTCAAACATAGTGAACTGGAGGTTATATATTCAATCAACAGATAGATGACTATAAGCTGTATCTGCAAAAATTTGCACGTATATATATATCTTATATGAAGTAGCTATTTTGAAATCTCAAATCAAGTCCCTTTTCAAACTGTAACTTGTTGACAGTTCCTTAAAGGAATACTTAGAGTGAACATAAAATTTAATAATTCCATACTGGGTCAATAAGAGCATATATTCATCAGTAGATATACCTGGTATCATAAATAACATAACAGGATACTTATATACTCCGATAAATCTAAAAAACTTAGTAATTATCCATAAATATGCAATTAACTATTGAAAAACGCTTAATATTTAGATTAATCGTTTTTCAATAATTACTTAGTTTTATGAATTTTCCAGATTTTACAGGAAATTTGTTGTAACTTTATGATACAAGGTAAGTTGACTGATGAATATATACTCATATTGACCATTCTTGAGAACTTTAATTTTATGTTCATTCTAAGACATAGTATCACTGGAACAAACATCCAACCTTTCCAAATCTTGAGTAGGAATTCTGATTTCGAACTTCAGACATAATGAAAATAACATGCAAAAAAATCCAGATGTGTCCATTTCAATACCAAAATATCACAAAAATGACACAAACACAATTTCAAAAGGTCTACACTGACTGTTAACTGAGCCTACATCTAAATTTAACAGACCTACTGTGGTAGGACAATATGTAATCAATGTGAGGAACAGATGTTTAATAAAAACATTTTATTCAAAGTTTAATTATGAAGCAATAATAAACCATTTGTATAGTATTCAAAGTAGAATTTTTTTTTTACTGATATTCATTCATTTTGTGAGTAGCTTATCACATTTTAATTTTTGCCTCATTCCCATGGTTTTTCAACGGGGCCGCAATGGCTCAGTGAGTTAGACGCTTACTTGCTAACCTGAAGGACAAGGGTTCCATTCCGGCATAGGTCGAGATAAAACCTTCTGATTTTTCAAACTGGTTTTCCCCTGTCAGTGATGCAGGTAAGAGGTGCTGACATGGAAATAACGTCTAGTCGTTCAAGACAATAAACCAAGGCCCTGAGTGCTACAGGCTGTGCACGTTAAAGATCCCACAACAGTTGGAAATTGAAAAAAAGCAGGCTAATGCTGCTGTCCTGCCTGCATGGCGTTGCCGGTCTTCATTAGCTCACATGGTGCAGAAAAGTAGGACGTAAATCTCCATTCATTCCTTACTTTTCATGGTTCTTTAAGTTTAAAAGTAGGTTGAAATATGCATGTATGAACTAACCAGAATTTAGAATAAATGACTTGACTGATATAATATCTATGTATCAAACAGACAATAGCAGTTCTATTCTATACAAAATAATCATCAACAAAGCACAGGCCTGCATTTCTTAAACCTTAAACAATGCAACCTGTGTCAGACTGTTAAGAGCTTTCATTCATCAATGTCCCAAAAGATACTTCTTGACACAATTACACTGCATTTGACTCAGTGTGCAAACAAGTCAAGTTGAGACAAAGGCTGAATAATCAAAAACCCTAGACAACAACATGTTTCAGGTTCTCTTATTCAGTGTTATAAATTTTTAATATTTTCAATTAAAATAGATTTATATCTAGAGCTGAACCCAACACATTTATCATTAATCATTTTCCGATCTGACTAGACTGAAAATGAATGGCTTGGAGAAGAAAATAAATGAAAATTGTATTGATGTGAATGAAATACCTTATAATAAGACCACATATTATTAGTTGAAAGTGTTGAATAATGAGATAGGAAACATATTGTATGTAGGTAGTAGTAATATATGTATACTGGGAGTTATATATATATTGATTGAAATATGTAGGTTGAATCTATGATATATACAAACAATATAATATAATGAAATACTAAGTAGAATAACAGTAAACAATAATAACAACATAGTCTACTGGCCTAACAGGTGTCTAACAACACTAAAGTTAGTTTTTTAAATTTATCAGTGATTGAAGCATTATGTTATTTAATATACTTGAAGGGATTGTAAAGAGGTTTTCTAAATTTGGTTTGAGTATCAGGGACATAGATAGCATCAATTTGCACCTTTCCAATTTTCAGTCAGACGTCTGTGGTTCCTGAGATCCCACTAAAACTAAGTATTTGATGACATCACTTATCGCGAAGAGATTGGTTGGTGATTAGTGACATCATCATCAAACACTTAGTTTCAGTGGAATTGCAGGAACAGACGTGATTGAAAATCTAAATGGCCCAAACTGATGATATCAATGTCCATGATACACATAAAAAATTTAGAAAACTTCTTACAATCCCTTTAATAGTGTGCATATGATAACACTGTACAATCATACAAACTTATATAGTCCTCTTACTGTTATTACTGTTATAAGCCCATTATTTTTATACTAATAGAAATAACATAGCAGTCTCTCATAAAGAGTTGTCTGCCCTTGCAGTCCCCTTCAATCTGTGTTAATATGTCAAGAGTAGTCCCTAAATATGTGATATTGTAACCAACAGTCTCTCTGAATGATCTTAAACTGAATTGAATAATTGACTGAGTAATTTGATCTTATCTTCCAGTTCAGTTTTAAAACCCTGCAGCTCTCAATTGTTAAGAGAAATGCCAGAAAAAGTTAAAAAAAAAAAAAAAAAAGCTGAGAAAAAAGAAAAGAAACACAACATCTATATAAGACTATGTATCAAAATTTGTTCGTACATTGTTAAAACTAACCCTTGATGTCACTGGGCGTATTTTACTGCGACTGACTTTTCTTGGGCGACGTCGAGAACGCTCTTCAATTTCACCATCACTAAGATCATCATTAGATGATGATTCTTGATCATTAAAATCATGAACTTCATCTTCATCAGAATCATTATCAACATCAGGTGAACGATCTGAAAAAAGAAACACAAATCATTATTCATCCCTTCCACACAACAACTGCTCTACCAATAACAATACAGGTACACGATGTATATCCCTCAGCAGCTGGTGAATCAGCTGTAACCAGGTTATATGTTGATATGTTGATTAAGACCTTGAAAGATTACTGTAAAAAATCATACTTTCATATATTCACCAATATCTCACAAAATAAGGAAATCATTTACAATGTAACAGGAAGCTTTATTTTATTTTTATGAGTGTTTTCCATTAAATAAAATTATACCCCTTATAAATGTGGAAAAGGAAATGTTTCATCTTTGAGTCAATGCCAAAAATTTAAAATAGGTAAAAGTTGATTTGAGAAAAGGTTCCTTGATGTTATTTTATCAAATTTATTTTTGGCCTTTTCTGAGAGAATTTCAAAGACATAACTTCAAAGGACAATAATTATGCTTAACTACATAGCAAATTGTATGCTTGACAGGCATTTCTGTTCAGAATAAATTCTTAATATCAAATAATATGCAGATTAAATTCTCATTTGGCTATCTTTGTTTAATGGCGTCACTAATTGCTGAAGGACCTTATGTGTTAAAACATATTTTGCGCTTAATGACGTAATCAAACACTTTAAGGCCTATCTCACTAGTCTGGAGACCAGTTGGTGACTCCAGACTTACTAGGTCTCTGAAGAGTCAGGGAGAATAAATTTTGTCTGCAAGAGAAGAAACGTCTCTGCGAGAGGAGGAGAGAGAAAACATCTGTGCAACATCTTTGCGATGTCCCTGACACCTGTTGGGAGGCCAAAGAGATGTTGCAACAACTGCAACAGCGTTATACCGTGTCTCCTCAATGTGTTAGCGATGTTGCTTGATCCACATTAGAGACAAGGCTGACAGAGACATCACAACCAACAAGATGTCTGGAAGTTGCAGCAGCGTATCCACCAGTGAGATTGGCCCTTTAGCTTTAGTGAAATTGTAGGAACCGCAGAGGTCTGATTGAAAATCAGAATGGGGCAAATTGATCAGTGTCAGATACACATAAAATAGTTTAGAAAACAGCTTTATAATCCCTTTAACACACTAATCATATTTCCCATTTCCCTATATTTACAGAAATAATGATTGTTCTTCAATATATCCATTAATGATATCATTAAAAACTAATAAACCTTAAACAAATTTTTTTAATGCTTTCTATGAACAGATTGTTAAGAAAAGAAGGGCTGCTATATGAACATAATATTTATATCTGGTACCAGACAAGCTAGTAAAAGTACTACAGAAATTATTGATATAGTTCATTAACATTCTTGACATTCTACAGACATTTATAGTATAAATTATACCAACACTGACAGATAGATAACATTTATATAGTTCAAATAAATAAACTGAACTATAACACATTTAATTCTAAGTAGGCCTATCATACAGGGAAAATGTTCTCCATCATACTTGAATATCTTGTAGGTTTAATTCTTTTTCTATCTCCCTTTACAATTGATATCTTGAACACTTTTGTATCAGTGAAAATATTTTGTTTTGATTTGATTTTGATTTATCATTGAATGGCATCATTTCCAGGATATTCACAAGTGATTATTATTCACTACAAGGGAGAACTTCAACAATATTCCAATAATCCTCCATATAATTTTTATTATTTGTAGAAAAACAGGGTGTCAGATCTTTATTTTGAAAAAAAAAATCGAGTACAGAAAAAAAACAACTACAGTATTTTTTACAGAGCTAGTTGGTTTGTCGAGGATTCTCATAATTAGCAGGTACTTGAAATTTAAGAAGGAATTAGCTTCAAAATGATGTATTTATTCCATCTCAGACCTATACGTGTGAGAAAATCAAACCTATATTTTTCAAGAAGTATTGAGACCCATTCGTATCATTGAAATGTTTCAAAATATGAAAAAAGAATTGATTAGTAACTATAAACATCATTGCAGATAATGACCTTTGTGATGTTGACTGGTTGGAATGTCATGTTATGTGTCATTCCAGAAGTTCACAGTCAGCTGTACAGTTAGTTTTCATATACCATTTGAAAATAATTCATTTTCAGGTTTTTTAGACGTCCCTCCTCCTCCAATCCACTACCTCTCATGTATTTTGTTGTATGTGTAGGGGTGGAATGTTTATTTCTTAAACCCCTACACAAGTGTCTAGCTAGCAAGCTATGATGTTTACTTGACATTTTTCATGAACTTATACTCAAGTTTGTAAGTGATATTTTTAATATATAATACATTGACATTCTCCCTCCAGATGAGTCCTTTTTTATTCAGGTCAGAAGGAAGGTGACACAAATAATTTTATCAAAAAGCCAAAAATAAATTCTAGATTAATATTTCATTCTGCACAAAAATCATTTCCCAGTAACTGAAAATTGAATGTGTGTTTTACTGTTATAACTCATCTAAGAAGATCATGTAAATATACATTTAATTACAGTTAGTCTGCATACAAACTATTTATATCACCATCTGATTGATAATAAATTATTTATATTTAACATGATTTATCTATTCACTTTCAACTTTCATCAAAACCATCATTTTATTTCACATCATTATACAGTATTTGTCTGTATATCTAAGTCTGAATGATTTTGTCTAAACGTTTGTAGGAAGCTGATGTGAGATATAGATCCATGTCACCTTTCACAACAAATTTCTGACATATAGTTTGCCTATAAATAAAAATAACGGCTTCACCTGAATCAACAACATTCTAAATTTCTAGACTGTTATAAACATTCTCCCACTTAAAGCTGTTGTTAATTAAATACAAATCTGTTGTCACATTATACTTTTGAATATAGGCTTGCGGCAAGTCTCGCAAGCGAATACGCCCACCACCAGCTTGATAAAGAGTTAAATGTGAACTGTAAAACAAACTCTATATCGTAGCCTGTAGAGTGAGCATGAGCCAAAAAGTGAAAAAAAATGCGATATCAGAGTTTTATGCGATATCTCTCAAGAAAATCATCGCATCCCCACCAAATTCAATAGTGCACATCTTCATAATGATATTGACACACATACAAAAGATCAAAAGAATCCATAGAGAAGTGTAGCCTGTAGAGTAAGCACGAGGTAAATGTGAACGGACGGACCGACAGACTGACTGACCAACTGACCGACAGGGGCAACCACAATATACGCCCATACTTACATGTGGGCGTATACAAAGGGATATGGATAGCCAAAATTAAACTACAACAAATTTCTGACATCTAGTTTGCCTACAATAAATATAATGGCTTTAGCTGAATTACCAACATATGAGCTTGTGGATGATATTCAAGAATTAATTCTATATATTCAATTTCAGGGGATATTAAAATAATAAAGGAAATGTAAGATGACTGTCATGATGAAACTTAAGCTAAGCACATACTTAAATTGTGCTATAAATATTATATATTGATATTCTATGCTTTTTACATTTCATACTTGAAATATAATATTCACGTATTTAAATATCACTCTACTCCAATTTATATCATCTAGTCTTTGATGATAACAATATTTTAACTTAAATTGCATCATTATATAAATTCAAAATGTTTCCTGCATTTAATTTATAGAGCTGTGTACCTCACACAGATAGGCAAGCAGGGGAAAGGGTCAGGTTAACTTCTGCCAAACCACCAAACTTTGAGCATCATTTCAAAACTCACCAAGTTCTCAACCATGCTCTGCTTCTTTTACCTTCAAACCTTTCATAAGCTTTCTTTATTTCTCAACCATTCTCTGCTTCTTTTACCTTCAAACCTTTCATAAGCTTTCTTTATTTCTCAACCATTCTCTGCTTCTTTTACCTTCAAACATTTCATAAGCTTTCTTTATTTCTCAACCATTCTCTGCTTCTTTTACCTTCAAACATTTCATAAGTTTTCTCTATTTCTCAACCATGCTCTGCTTCTCTAAGCTTCATCCCTTCCATAGGCTTTCTGTATTTCTCAACCATGCAATGCTTCTCTAAGCTTCAACCCTTTCATAAGCTTTCTCTGTTTCTCAACCATGCTCTGCTTCTTTAAGCTTCAACCCTTTCATAAGCTTTCTCTGTTTCTCAACCATGCTCTGCTTCTTTAAGCTTCAACCCTTTCATAGGCTTTCTCTGTTTCTCAACCATGCTCTGCTTCTTTAAGTTTCAACCTTTTCATAGGCTTTCTCTATTTCTCAACCATACTCTGCATCTCAAAGTTTCAGCCCTTTCATAAGCTTTCTCTATTTCTCAACCATACTCTGCATCTCTAAGCTTCAACCCTTTAATAGGCTTTCTCTGTTTCTCAACCATGCTCTGCTTCTCTATGCTACAACCCTTTAATAGGCTTTCTCTGTTTCTCAACCATGCTCTGCTTCTCTATGCTACAAACAATAAGCATTCCACAATAGCACAACTGGTTCAAGAAATAGAGATTATACCAGCTTCATTTGCACTTTTAAAATGTTACTGCATTAACAAACAACATTTCACAATTAAATTAACCTTTTAAAAATAGTATGACCATAAAGTAACTCCTACTTTAAATAACAGTACAAATCCATTAGTTAAATGGTTCATCTCAGCATGTCAGTGTCTGTTGATTTACTACAGATTTATATTTCTTTCATCCTAGCTTATTTCTCTCTTACTTTTATTTTTAATTGAGGAAATTTGTTCATGGTTAAAGTTATACAGGAAATCAAATCAAAATAATATTGTTTATTAAAGGTGAAAAAAAAAAGAAATAAATGGAATCTTAGTCCTTCTTTTCGGCATTTAATTGAGATAATGAAGACAGACAAGCCATGCAGTGCGCAATGAGGGAAATTTGGCCATGACAGCATCTTTTCCGATTTTCAACTGTCAAGGGATTTTTAACCGTTAATAACGTGCACAGTCAGTAGAACGCAGGGCCTCAATTTATTCCAACAACTAGTTCAGCATTTTCCATGTCAGTCTCTCTTACCCGCATCACTGATAGGGGTAATCAAATTATC